ACACTATAACATATATATTCCCTTATATATTAAATAAGTTCAATTATACCAATAAATATATCATGGTCAAGTGGTTTTGGACTTCTCTAGATTTCGAAGTTAGGAGGAGTATATTTTAATTATTTTATCCTTTTTTGGTGTTACTGAGTTGCAAAATTACTGTTATACCCTCGTCTCCTTCATTCATTTTCCTGCAACAGAACTTTAATCTCGCCGCTTCTTCAATTTTTTTCACCATTGTTGTTTATTTCACTTGCTTTTCTTGTGGTTTATGCTCAACAATCCTACATCTGTTTCCTTGCTTAAAACTCATAAAAAAGTGAGAAATTTTGACATAACCGATTTTTTAACCGCACAAGATGAAATCGCGGCGGCCGGAGCCCGCCGAGCGCCTGACCGGCGATTACACGGCCGCCGAAGCCGCGTTTTTGAACAGGGATAAAATTAGGAGATTTTGACGTTTAAATATATTTTTGTTTTTGGTTTATCCTTAAAAAATAATAAAAATATATCAAAGTTTCCTGCTCCAATACGATTAAGGTGTATATAATAAGTACATGAATTAGACATGGTGAATTAGTAGTAGCGATGAGTATGTTTCTAGCTATAATTACGTCTCTCATGTTTCTAGCTATAATTTCGTCTCTTCTTCAATGGAAGAAGCATTCGTCAAAGGCAATGAGAAGACAAAGAGGAGAAGATTTGGTGGTGGCTCCGGAGATTTCTTTGGATCTTATGATCGAGATTCTTACTAGATTGCCGGCTAAATCTCTAATGAGGTTCAAGTGCGTCTTAAAGCTCTAGTTTTCTCTTATACGTTCTCGATATTTTAGCAACCTTTATCTTAAGGTCGCATCACCACCTCGTCTATACATGAGTTTGATGGAGCACCTCAAGTGTGATTCAATGGAAGTCTGCCACAATCCCGAAAACTCTGTTTTGCTCTCATTTTCATTACCGTCTAGTAATAATGCTGAGTCTCACGACCAAGATTTGACAATGCCAGGGATTGGAGGACATAGCATGGTGGTTCTTCGCGGCTTGATTCTATACATTGTTTGTAGAAAGGCGTGTATCTATAATCCCACCACCAGACAAAACATAACTTTACCAACCGTCAAATCCAACATCTTTGCTCAAAAAGGATTTGAAAAGTTTGTTAACTACTTTCTCGGACACGATCCTATTCTTGATCAATACAAAGTAGTATGCGTTGTCGCGATATACACGAAATATCTCGAGACAGTAACCTCAGAGTATTGGGTCTTAGTACTGGAAGCCAGAGGTTCCTAGAAAAGAATTGATTTTAATCAACCTCACATTCCTACGAAACTAGGGTTGTGCATCAACGGAGTTATATATTATTTTGCTGCTGCTTGTTTACCTGGCGATATTGCTGTAAGTTATATTGTTAGTTTTGACGTTAGGTCAGAAGAGTTCATTATGATCCAAGCTCCTCATGATGTGACTAAAGTTGCTAAGTCTGTGGGATTTATAGAGTATGGTGGAAGACCAGCTATTCTTGATTATACCAATCTTGTACAAAAAGGTTTGGTGGACTTATGGGTCGTGGAAGATGGTGGAAAATGGTCGAAGAAATCTCTGGTCTTGCAGCCTTGTCAGATGCATTTAGTCGATAACAATATTTCATTTAAGGTGGAAGGTGCAACACGAAACGGCAAGGTTATTTTGGCACCGATTGACTTGCTTTCCACTTACTACATTCTCTATTATGATCTGCAAAATAATGATTTGAGAAAGATTTATATCAGAGATATTTGGGACCAAACGCACGGGTTTGATGAGTTCTACTTTAATTGGACTCTTATGGATAAGAGTGAAAGCATCATGCATTTGGAAACTTGAATGTCATTACTTTAGTTTTTTTATTTTCCCCTTTCAAGC